CTCTCTCTCTCTCCCTCTCTGCCACCCTCTTCCTCCGTCCTTCTGTTCCTCCCCCCGGTGATCCCCCTGCGAACCCTCCGCCGCAACCCCCGCGGTTCCACCGCGCGCTCTCCTGCTCGCTGTGTGCTTTACCGTGCGGAGTTCTCGTTCTCTGGCTGTTCCTAGCGTGCGGCAAAAAGGTGTACAAGCGACTAACAAAGCCTCGGCTTTTTTTTACGTTTATGCACATTTCCGCCCCTCACGGTTTCATGCCGGTGCGCTGGCTGGCTGGCTGGCTGGCTGCTCTCCGCTCCGCTCCGCGCTCGGAGAGCGAGCGAGCTGTCGGACGGACGGGCGAGCGGGTGGCCGAGAGAGGAGCGCCCGGTCAGCCCACGAATCCGTTAGCGACGAAACACGCATCGCTAACCTTTGGATCGGTCGCACACAGCCGCCCGCTTTTACACCGGGGGCCCCCGGCCCGTGTAAAAATAAATTCGCAAATGAAACGTGAATCCCGCGTCTTTGTCGATAACGAACCGCCGCGCGCCGAGCCGCGCCGACCGGCGCCGAGGGTCGACCCTGTCCGCCGCGAGCCCGATTACCGGCTACACGAGGAACAGGAGGAACAAGCCGGGGCCCGGCTCTGTGCCGGATGGCCGGCCACGCCGAATTACAGCATCAAATGTTCCCTTTGATCCGAATCGATGCTCGCCGATCCAAACTTCGCCGAAAGACGCGCCCCGGCTACGCCGACGCTCCCGCCGCCGCCACTGCTGTCGACGCCATCGCGAAATTTCGAGCGGGATGCACGATTCGACTAATGGACGGTATCCCTTAAACTGTTCCTCTTCCTCTTTGTCGGGCAACATCGCCTGTTCCGAATGTTTGCTCCCTTTGATTTCCCTCTCGGAGCCGACCAACTTGTTTCCCGCCGGCGCCGCCATGCAATCCTCGGATCTAATCCGTGACGATACCGATCCACGGCGAGTCTCTTACACGGAGACTTTGTCGACGATCCTCGAATCTCGTGTCCGAACCATCCGCAGGATTTGCCGGGCGCCGATCGGACGAGGGTCGGCTGGCCTCCGTCTCAAGGGTTGATTTCGCCCCGAACGAAATCGTCGATGCGAGAGCAGCCTCGATTCCGTGATAAATAAATCGTGGGAGGAACTTTTTAGTCGAATCACAACGAGCTTTGAGAACGGCGAAAGCGTCGGCGTATATTGTTACGTTGCTTCCAAGTTGTCGACATACAGTGATGTCTCTCTAATTGACGCTCAGATTGTGACACAGATGGATAATTTGGGAAGAGGGGATACGATTATTCGAGCGGCTCGATTTTTATAGCCGACGATTGTCGGTAACTGTAAAATATAAAATAATACCTCCTCTTCCCAAATTGTACATTTTCGTTTCCAGGCCGAGGGACAATTAGGGAGAATTTACTGTAATTGTAATTTCGAATGATTACAAGAGCGTGTAATTAACTGTGTATTAATTTACTATAAAATTAGTCAGTCTAACATCTCCAAAAAAAGCTCGCGTCATTTGGACCAATGTTAAGAAAGTTATTCCATTTTAAAAGGTGCAGTGAATTCTCCCGAGTTTTCCCTTAATTTGTAAACAAAAATTTGAGAAGAGGAGATACGATTATTCGAGCCTCGCGGTTTATTTTTATAGTTATAAATTGTCCACTTGTAGTTATAAAGTGTCGAAATTATCCATTTTAGTGGACAATCTGAGCGTCAGTTAGGGAAACATTACTGTACGCATGACAACGCTATGTTGTGTATAAATATCGTAGAATACAAATATAGAAATTTCTCCCGGAAATGTCAAATTTCGGGTCGCTGTGAATTTCCCTGTGCTTGTCTTCGAATCATGTCACGTGGCCTGCGAAATACCTTCGAATCGTGTCATGTGGCCTCCGAATTGCCTCCGAATCGTGGCAAAAGTACATTCATAATGCGAAAATTAGCGAAATCAGTTTATCTTATAATCGTATCTTCTCTTCCCAAATTATCCACTTTAGTGGACGATCTGAGCGTCAGTAAGGGAGACATTGCTGTATTGTGTGCGACGAGGGGTATTAATGCCCTTTTTGAAGAATTTCATTTCATTTAACTTCGTTGTACAAGGTGATTCCTGAGGTTATTTGAAGTAACTTTTTCCTTGACGAAAATGGAATCCGCGACTTCCTTTGCGAGTTATCAACGAAAAACGGTGACCAATGAGAGGCGAGCGGAATCCTCGTGGGTTCCTCGGGAATCGCCCCTTTCCGGATGTTAACATAATCATGGGATTGTCGCTAAAATTTTTTTGCCAGTTTTGCAAGTATTAAGTGCTCTCTGAAAAGCGGATTTGTCCAAAATTCACCGATCTTCGCCCGCTAGACGCGAGCGAAGCTCGATCCGCGATCCGCGCGCGAAATGCGCTGAAACTCTATTATCGAGAAAGGAAGCTCCTCCGACCTTTCCACGACCGAAGCGGCCAATTTTTATTTCGCACAGCAATCCCTAGTTTACGATCGATCTCGCGCGGTAAATTAATGTTTGAATATCCCTTAGGCGAGCTATCGCGGGAGTCCGTTTCGAAATCGATGGGCTAGTTCCGCGAGCGACTGACTCGACGACCGAGCAGCGCCGTCTAGCTGCGGCATCGTTGTAAATAATTCGTCCATAAATATCGCTTAGAATTCGAGTCGCGGAAATCTATTACAACGTGTTTAGACGTCTCTTACAAATAGACTTTCAGCATCATCCTGTCCGGGGGTTATGAATGACTGGGAACGGCGAAATCCTCTGCCGCAGCCGCGCGGGATCGTAGTGAACCCGCTTCTCTTTCATGCGAGGAGCCCGAAGGAGGGACAAGAACGGGGCGCGCGCGCGGCTCGCGACTTATAAATCACGTCGACAATCGGGGTTAGTACAGGCACCCTTGGAAACCTGTTCCACCGTGCGTCTCGGTCGGCCATTGTTCCGCTCCATTTCGAACTTTCCTGACCCCCGGTGTATAAAAGGGTCCCCACACCCCACCCCCTCCCCCCGTCTAATCACACGTATCACGCATGTTAATTAACGGCCCCGCGGTCCTTTCTACATTGCGAACAACGACGCGAGATAACCGTAAATTGCTTCCAATTTAACACGCAGCGCCTAACCGGGGACCATCGTTTGTCACGGAACGAAAAAAAAAAGATAGAGAAGAAGACGCGGACCGTGTCTCGTCGCCTCGATTAAACGGGCTTTCGGCTATACCGTTTGCCCCCCACCCCCCCGTGACCGCGACGCCTGGGGCTGGCAACGCGATTATAATTGTCGCAGCCGATTTTCAGCGATCGCTCATTGACCCGCGGATTACGTCGCTTCGGGCGACGATTCGAAGCAGATTAATTCGGCATAGATTCGGAAATATTTAAAATATTTCACTATCTAATCGGTGCTCTTTTATTCTTGTACTTTTCTATTTTCTTCTTTGTCAGTTCTTCGACAAAGTCTCTCTGTTCTCGATTATTTATATTTAAAATATTTCACTATTTAATCGGTGCTTTTATTCTTGTACCTTTTTATTTTTTTCTTTGTCAGTTCTTCGACAAAGTCTGTTCTCGATTATTTATATTTAAAATATTTCACTATTTAATCGGTGCTTTTATTCTTGTACTTTCTTATTTTCTTCTTTGTCAATTCATCGACGAAGTCTGTTCTCGATTATTTATATTTAAAATATTTCACTATTTAATCGGTGCTTTTATTCTTGTACTTTCTTATTTTCTTCTTTGTCAATTCATCGACGAAGTCTGTTCTCGATTATTTATATTTAAAATATTTCACTATTTAATCGGTGCTTTTATTCTTGTACCTTTTTATTTTTTTCTTTGTCAGTTCTTCGACAAAGTCTGTTCTCGATTATTTATATTTAAAATATTTCACTATTTAATCGGTGCTTTTATTCTTGTACTTTCTTATTTTCTTCTTTGTCAATTCATCGACGAAGTCTGTTCTCGATTATTTATATTTAAAATATTTCACTATTTAATCGGTGCTTTTATTCTTGTACTTTCTTATTTTCTTCTTTGTCAATTCATCGACGAAGTCTGTTCTCGATTATTTATATTTAAAATATTTCACTATTTAATCGGTGCTTTTATTCTTGTACTTTCTTATTTTCTTCTTTGTCAATTCATCGACGAAGTCTGTTCTCGATTATTTATATTTAAAATATTTCACTATTTAATCGGTGCTTTTATTCTTGTACTTTCTTATTTTCTTCTTTGTCAATTCATCGACGAAGTCTGTTCTCGATTATTTATATTTAAAATATTTCACTATTTAATCGGTGCTTTTATTCTTGTACTTTCTTATTTTCTTCTTTGTCAATTCATCGACGAAGTCTGTTCTCGATTATTTATATTTAAAATATTTCACTATTTAATCGGTGCTTTTATTCTTGTACTTTCTTATTTTCTTCTTTGTCAGTTCTTCGACAAAGTCTGTTCTCGATTATCTCGGTTCCTAAACTAAATTATTTTGGAAACACGTTTCTATAACGCGTCGTATTATATATTTATTTTATATCATATATATATAATATAAAATAAATATATAATACGACGCGTATGTATATATATATTTCTTCCTTATTCGATTATTGCGCGTCGGTGTTGTTTGTAACGTCATCCCGCCCGGTTATTTATCCACTACGTCATTGTTTTCGATGAAACGTGAACGCAATATGACTTTGAACTTTCTTAAAACCTATAATGAATGACGAAGCCGAGGCAAGTATGACTTACACCTCCGTGTTTCTGCATCGAACAGTTTCCAGCGCGTCGTCTCGCTCTTTATACGAGCGACTCGATTTATTCGAGTTTTATATCACGGTTCGAATTCGCCGGACAGTCGATCGAACTTGTTCGACGAATATTTTTCATTTTTACTCGCGATCGCAACGCGATCGAAGCAATCAATTCTGCGCGAACCTGTCTGCAAACGAATAAGACGATGGATCTCTCGTGTACTCACCTATTTTTCTCCAATTCGTTATGAGTAGTCCTGCAAAAAAAGAAAAGGGTTCTCGTTAAATTCCTAAAACGACGAAATCGTTTGATTTTCGACTGCGTGAAAGAGAAATCGCGAAAAGCTTCGTTTAAAAAGAAACGAATAACGCGCGAAGCTCGCGAACGTTCAGAAAATATTTGCTCGACATTGGTTAATACAGATCGTTTGCAGATGATTTTCAAAAAAAACACACGCATTTCGAACAATCGCTATTATACGAGAGCGCGGGCTCGATTAAACGAACGTTCGATTGTTTAAACTGTGTGTAATCTGGTGCAGATTTTTATTCGTTCCTCATACGTCTCGCTGTAGGACGATTTACACGCTCGCATATCGTGTCCACTGTGTGAAACAAATCGGTTCGGGAGTGGTCGAATTGTAACCGAAACAACAGTTGAGTGCAGAATTGTCAAACCACTGACGTGTGGAACACAGAGTGAGAGGGAGGGAGGGGGGAGGAAGGGTTGGGAGCGGAGACGAATCGTAAAACGCGCAGAAAATTTATCGAGTCGGAACGAAGTTATTGAATTTTCGGGCGAGCTTCTAACCGAAACCGCAGCGAAAACAATTCGACAAAAATAACTGGGACGAACGTAAGTCCCGCGCGACGCGCCGGTACAACAACGTTACAACAACGAACGATCGTGTGGTGCACATGTAACATCGGTTCGAATCGTCGAATTATTCAAGAATTACACGCCGCGACGTACAAATGAATTTCCTTCTGTATTCGTAAATCGTTGTTCGTACACAGGGGAGTTGGAAGAAATAAATAATTAATGACGCGACGGATAACAATGAAAGCATTTCCACCGAACAACAATGACTAAGTCTGATTATAATGTATCGCGAACAAGTGGCAAACGGCGAGCGTTCTAAATCGACGAAGGGGAAGACAAACGAAGAATGTATCGATTGCAACTCGATCACTCCCATGACCTCGGCAAAATTCTCTGTAACACCAATTTGAATAGAAGCGACGCTGACTTCGTTTGAACTTCTCGACTTCGTCGCCTTGAACCGTATACATGCCTTAAAAGGCGGTTCGACGAATTTCGTGCGGACTTCAACCGTAAAACTTCGTAATTAAAGGAAACGCGACACCGTTCCAGGATTACCATTCGACTCGGTTGTTTATTGTTCGACGGCTGTATAAATTAAGGCGACAAGAAGATCAGAGAAATATATAAATTAAAAATGTAAAAAAACAAGCGCCGCTCGTAAACGCGTAATCTCGTCGCGAGCACACGATTCGAACGTTTCAAACAGCGATGCTCTACTTCTAACAAGATGAAACGCTACATCGAGGAGTGTACCCCGATGATATTAACGATTAGACTGCAGATTTTCGCGCGAAATAAAAGCAAACACGGACAGAGAGCACCGTGGAAAGTCATTCGATCGTCTCGATAATCGGCGGTGACTCGATAACAATGACGAGTACGCATCGAGAACACGTTCTACATTCGACGCGCATTCATTTTCGTCGCGAAAAATCCGCAGTCCGCTAATGAGAATAAATGGTACCAACCTGCTGCCCTGGGATTTTTTCGTCTTTGGCCTTTTTGTGACCGTCCGCATATCATCGGGCATCGGCATCGTCGAAGCGTAGCCATGTTCAGCTTCTGCAATGACGAACCAATCGTCAGCGGTCAACGGCGAGAGTATCGAGATAGAGATAGAGAGATAGATACATATAGAGAGAGGAGAGAGAAAGAGAGACGCGCAAAAAGCAAGCGAAAAAGAGAAAAAGAGGGGAGGGGGGAGGGAAAGAGAATCGAACCGATATATATTTCGCATGGCGAGGATACCGAACGGCGAACGGCGAAGAGGAGCAGGCTCGCGAAAAAACCGCGCCGCGGCGTACATGACTCGCGAACTCGTGCTCGTTAAGCGCGTACACGGTGCCGGCGACGTGGCGGAATAAAGTCACGTTCTGTCTTGCGAGCGTAACTTACTGCGGCATTAAAGCGCCGCGCAAACACCGCTTCGCGCCGGCTTCGACGATCCGCACTCGAAAAGGCCGGGATTTATGTTACGATTTCAGTTAACGCCGTCCCGGCGAACGAGGCCGGTCGTCCGAGCGAGTAACCGATCCCCAGTCGAATAAATCCGACAACGTAACAATGTAGAGTACCCGGACAGAGAAAAGGGGGAAACGGGGGGAGGAGGAACTTCCTGCTCCGGGGATCGACGACGATCGCCGCGGCGCGCCGGCCAAGAGATACGAGTCCATTGACTTTCGCGAATTTTCGGATCTCTTTGTTCCCCGGTTGCCGAACGAACGCGCGGCTTATTGATTTATCTTGCCGCGCGATTAAACCGGTCCCTTGCCGATTCCATACGGCTGCTGCCTCGCTGCGCGCGAGCCGCCGCGCGCGTCCGCTTCGACAAACGCTACCCGCCTTTCCCGGTTTTACACCGCGGTCGAGTTAATTTTGTAACGGGAATCGATCGGACCTATCGAACGATCAAGATATCGGCTGTGTTTGGGAGTCGCGGCCGCTCCGGGTCGAGGGAGACCCGGGTGCACGAAGCCGGTGTGCGAAGAGCGCTGCGGAAGATTTTCTTTTGGAAGCACGGTAAATTCTCTTGAATTGTCGCTCGACGTGTGCAGTCATTTCTCTCTAATTCGCGCTCGAATTGCGCGCAAGAATGACAAATTTGGGAAGAGGAGATCATTCGTGCCTCCCGTTTTTAGGCTCGTTTTTATAGTCGGCAATCGGTTAACTAGAAAAACGAGCCGCGAGAGGCACGAATAATCTCGTCTCCTCTTCCCAAATTGTTCATTCTTGCGCGCAATTCGAGCGCGAATTAGGGAGACATTATTGCACACGTCGAGCGACAATTGGAGAGAATTTACTGTGCTTCGAAAAGAAAATCTTCCGCTGCGCTCTTCGCACACCGGCTTCGTGCGCCCGGGTCTCCCTCGACCCGGAGCGGCCGCGACTCCCAAACACAGCCGATATCTTAATCGTTCGATAGAGAGCGGACGAGATTATTCGTGCCTCTCGTTTTTAGGCTCGTTTTTATAGTTGTTGGCAATCGGTTAACTAGAAAAACGAGCCGCGAGAGGCACGAATAATCTCGTCTCCTCTTCCCAAAAAATTGTCCATTTTATATATTCAATAGCAATTAGGGAGAATATACTGTACCTATAGTCTACTAGTTCAAAGAGAGAGATATTTGCCCAGTCCCGACGTTCTCGACCTTTTTCAAGATATAGAACAACAATGTCCATTCTTACACGAATCAAAGCAGTTCGACAAAACGATGAAACGTTCTTAATATTAGAAACGATGAAGATAACCGTACAGATTGCCGAAGGAATCTCAGTAGTCTCGCGCGGAGTCGGCGTTGAAGCTTGGGGGGAAAGGAAGTGTGAACGATGAAATAAAACGTAGCAGTCGATCGATGTTATTTTTCATCGGAGGGAAGCGTCGGCCGCGTCCATTTCTCTTCTAAATAAACAATCTCCGTGGCCCCGCGAAATCCAGTTACGCGAGTGCGGAACGGTCCCCCCTTGCAGAAACGTTCGATTCCCATCAGAAACGACGAAAAATGCAATTACCGGTAGCTATGGGACAATTCCAGCTTTCCGGCATCGATCGGCCGGCTGGAATTACATAAGTGGAAGGGAAAAGGGACGCGGCGACGAAGAGGAGAACGACAACGACGACGACGACGAAGTAGAAGAAGAAGAAGAAGAAACACGTGGCAAGAGAAAAGGAGAACCGCAGAAAGATATCCGGAGCAGAGGCGAGACCGGGACAGAGAAGGCCAGTCACCATAACGAGTGGTGTAAATTATAAATGCCTCCTTTGCCGAGGCTACGGTTCTCCCGATCCTCATCATCGTACAACAGGCCTAATGCCAGCCAGTGAAAAAGAACACGCGCGCCCGCGACATCGACCATCTGTCCTCGTGAAAGAAGAAAAGCGTCTCGCTCGCATGCCATGACCATAAGGCAGCACTCGCGCGTCATGCAAAAGAGAAATTCGCGTCGTGAATAGCACGCCGAACTTGCGCGGAAAGAATGAAAGAGAGAGAGAGAGAGAGAGAGAGAGAGAGAGAAGCGGAGGTACCTTATGGAACTCGTTTTAGAAACCGAGGCGGGGTGGCAGACGCAGGAAGGGGGGGAACAGGGTTGCGGGAGCCATTTCCAAAAATTTGAACAAAACAGAAAGGCCCGTCTGCGCTGCGTGGGAACCGCGCGGGCCGCGACAATGCATCGGAAAGAATAGCGATCTTGTTTCTTTTTCTTTTTCGTTTTTTTCTTCTTTTACCGTTGCCCCCCTTTTTCACCTCGTTGACGCTAAATTATTGCCTAGAGCCGGCTCTCCTCGCCGAGGCGGCGCGGCGCGCGTAACAGTTCCGATGAAAGATCGGAATCGCTAAATGCGAGGGAATTCTCGGAAGAAGTTAATAATGTACGTGATTCTTTATCATTAACTGCGCTAATTAACAATCCGCCGTTTCCCTTCCTTTAGAAAGCAGCAATATAATCCGGAGTCGGTATCTCCTGCATTTCGCTCGGCTGAAATGGCGCAAGATGGCGGAGATTAATGGTCCAACATTTTTCCGCGACGTAGAAGTGGCCGAAGAAATTAATGGGACCGTCGACAGTAACCAAATACCGAGGAGCCACAATTTTTTCCCCTCTTTTTTCCAAGTAGTGCGAAATCGTAACTGCAGATTTATCGCCGGGATACCAATCATCGCGCGCGTCCAGGGCGCGTTGAAATTAATCAGATTCGTCGTGATTCGATGCCGCTCTATTTTCTTCTATCGCCTGCGTCCGTTCACGTTAAATCGCGTCGACGTTTCGTTCGTCGATTCGTTCGATGGAATTTCGGCAGCGGGCTAAGCGCGCGCGTAACGTCCCTCGGCAAAAAAGAAAAGATCAGGAAAGGCACAGTAATTAAACGGGGGCAGCGAAGAAGAGCGACTCCTCGGCGCGCGCACCGAGCCAGTGGAATGGAAATGAAAAGCCACGCGCTTATAAGAGAAGGCAACGCAGCGCACAATATCCGTCGTATTTCGTGCGTGGTTCGCTCGTTAATGGTCACGTGAATTCTTTTTCGCTAGACTACCGGTGCCCTTTCATTAAGCCGCGGAGCACGTGTGAAGTTTTTCTCCCACCGGCCGACCATTTGATGTCTGAATCAGCGAAGAATGAACGCTTCCGGTTGAAAGAAGTCGCCGGAGACTCGGGGAGCTTTAAATAAAAAAGCGAAAAAAAAGTAAGCTTCGCGCTTTCAAAGGTGGAAAAAGAGAGATCTCGCTCCGGCCGTGGCTCCGTGCGTGTTTCGCGCGTGTAATACGGATAATACGCATTGATACGCGACACGTGACGCCTCTGACTCACCACGCCTTTATTTTAAATCCCCGTCTTTTTGCGCGCGCGCGCGCGCTCGCGATTGTCCGGTGATTTCCGATTCGCGAGCATTGTGGCTTCGGGATTCCTGATTTGCATACACCGCGGTTTGTGATTTCCAATTTGCATCTGTTGTGGTTTGTTAGTTCTGATTTGCATCCATTATTGTCCGTCGTCCGCGATGCGCGACCCTTTTGCTCCGCGACTCGCGGACAGTTTTAGGCGATGCCCGACGCACGCGACCGTCCACTTCACACGTCTACGGTAACGTCTCTCTAATTGACGCCCAGATTGTCCGGAAGAATGGACAATTTGGGAAGAGGAGATACGATTGTTCGAGCCTTGCAGCTCGTTTTTATAATCGTTGACAATTCGTGACTATAAAAACAAACCGCAAAGCTCGAATAATCGCATCTCCTATTCCCAAATTGTCCATTTTCGTGCGCAATCTAAGCGTCAATAAGGGAGACATTATTGTATTCGTTTCCGACCGCGAACTTCTCGGACCCGTGGCCGCATCTTCCGTAATTTCCGATGCTCGGTACGCGGCAGCAGTTCTCTCTTCTCTCGGTCCCGCGATATTGCGGATCTTCCGTATCTTGTAATCGTTTGCTCGGCGATTTTATCGTTATCTTTTCGCGGCTTCGCGATTCGCGTACACTCGAACGTGCGCGGCATTCGCGATGCTCGATTCGCTCCGTTTTATCCCGCGGACTTTCGCGCGAACACTTTCGTTTCGCGACTCGATTTACGATATTTAAAGTCCGCGTGTTCCGTGGCTCACGACTCCTGTGTTTCGCGATCCATTCGGGATCCTCGTATCTCGCGTTGCGTTTTACAAGCGACCAGAAATCGCGCAGTGATTTAGATACGTACGACTCGCGGCGATACGGGCCTGTGCGTGGCCCGTTCCTGTCCTTCGCTCGTTTATCCGCTTCGCGATCGTATCTTACGGTTCTCGCGCTCGCGCGCATCGCGATTCTTCGGCGTTGAAGATCCGTGCATAATTGCGATTTGCCTGCGCACTTCTTGCCTCGCGATTGTTAGAGCCACCCGCGACTCTCGCCTTCCCGAACCCGCCGTTTCTCCTTCTCGATTCCTCGCGGCTCCGGAGATGTTCCTCCGGAAGATGTTCGCGCCTCTCGATCTCTGTATCTCCGCGTGTTCGCGTCACCCCGCGGCCCCTCTGTCTCCTCGTTCCGCACCCTTCTCCCGGCCGATCCTCGTTCCACGAATTTTTCTCACTTCCGATCGACTTACCGGCCGCCCCAGCTGCGGCGCAAATGAATGCAGAATTGAAAACTCGTTCCACCGAATCGTCGACGGAGCAATTCACCGGGAACCGTCGACACGTCGCGTCGGGTGTACACGCGAAAGGGTAACCCCACGGCAACACGAGCGCGCGACCTTTCCTCGAAGTCTCGCGGCGCACACGGACAATTTAATTCGCCGGGATGCATTCATCGCGAACACGCGGCGCGTAACTCTGTTGCGCCGCGGCGAAATTTGCTAATGCCGGTCGGCGAAGTAGTTCAACACTCGATTATCGTGCCCGCGATCGGGCAGCCGAAGCCTATCGAGAAGACCTCTCTGGGAACGGGAATACAAAATTCCCGTGGTTTTTTACTCGGTAGTTCGCCGAACGCGAATCGTACAACCTTCGGTTTCGATCTGACCACAAGTACAACTATAAAATGATGCGCAAAATGCATGGACAGCTGTAATTTTCTGCGATGCGATGTAATATAAATCGATGCTGTAATGTTTATTACTAAATTGCCTGACGAATGCGTGTATTGCTGGTAGCACTGTACATTTAGCGATTCGATTGTTTAAGTCCTCTGAATGCTTTGAATAATTAGATATTAAAGATGAAATTCAGAAATTTTCTATTATTTTCTATTATTATCTAATAAGGAAACGGACCACGAGCTGCGAAAGCAGAGACTGCAGTCTTTAATATGCGTATTATTTTTTCAACCCCAAGCACTCGGAACATTTTTCTGACGTACATAGAAACAACTCGAAGCAAAGTTTGCAAAAAAATGTGATTCTGCTATACAAAATTGAATGAAAATAAAAAGCATCGTACTGCTGTGAAATTTTACTGGAATTAATAAATCAAAGATGTATTTTCATTTGTGCACAATATCGTTCGTCCATTTAATTTCATTATTTATTTACGGTACGAAAAAAAATAATTAAAAAGAAATTCCACTTCGACAGGCATATATGTATAACGCCGCCGTATCGACGACATTCGAGTGCAAAGGGTTAAGATTATTTCCAACGAAATCATAGCCGGCCGAGTATCGGCAATTGGTGATATCGCGACCATATAGAGACACATTGGCGGATTCTAAAAATCGTGGAAGCATAAAAATAGCCGACGCGAGAGTATCGAGAGCATTTAGCGGACTTGGCCGCACCGGTGATCGCGGCTCCTCAAGGTTACACAAGCGGTCGCAGCTTCCGCGCTAATAAGCGCTCCTTTTACGCGCGCGGTCGTATCGCTCGGAAGCGTTTTTGAGGGAGCCCGGTGCCAAATAGGCCAATTAATATAACGTAACAGCCTTATCTCGGCTATCTTCGGGCAATAACAGTTAATGTTCGATCGACGATTCGCCGTGATTCCTGCTGCCGCGCGGGGAGGAGCGGAGAGGAGCGGAGCGGAGCAGTTCTTCTCGACGAGCGGCCAATAAACCGACGCGGAAAGCTCCTTTTCTGGGGCTCGGCCGGACGGGTTGGGTCCCGTGCGCTCGTTCAACGGGCACACGAAACATCCCTCTCGGTCGCGTGATGCAAGCTTAAACCACGAGGAGAGATCGATCCGCGAAATGGAGGGAGAGCCGAGAGAAACAAAGAAGCCGTTCTCGGGGTGTTCGGTCGAACGTGTGTACGTGACGCGGAGCGAGCGAGAACGGACGCGAGAGAGAACGAACGCGAGAGCGAGAGAGAGAGAACGAAAGCGAGAGCGAGAGAGAACGAACGCGAGAGAGAGAGAGAGAGAGAGAACGAACGCAAGAGAGAAAGAGAGAGAAAGAACGCGAGTGAGTGAGAGAGAGAGAGAAAGAACGCGAGAGAGAAAGAGAGAGAAAGAACGCGAGTGAGAGAGAGAGAGAGAAAGAACGCGAGTGAGAGAGAGAGAGAAAGAGCGCGAGAGAAAAAGAGAGAGAAAGAACGCGAGAGAGAGAGAAAGAATGCGAGAGAGAGAGAGAGAGAAAGAACGCGAGAGAGAAAGAGAGAGAACGGACGCGAGAGAGAGAGAGAGAGAGAGAGAACGGACGCAAGAGAGAGAGAGAGAGAGAGAACGGACGCAAGAGAGAGAGAGAGAGAGAGAGAGAGAACGAGCGCGAGCAGAAGCGAGAGCGTTCCCTCGGCCCGGGAATACGCGGATCTTAAACGAAACAGGAAAGAAGAATTACGGCACCGTAAATCTCGAGCAGTAGCTATTCGAAAGCGAAACGCAGTAACCCGAAAAAAAGAATGCAAAGCGACGCACGTTTATTGTGATCCGCCGTGGTTCTCTTATTTGTGTCACGATCCGCCATTCTCGACACGGTGCTAACGAAAACTGGAAGGGTAACTACTCGCGCGGATTCTAACAGTTATGCTCGATGAAATCGCGCTGCGTCGAGTTTATAGTTTTGTTAACTATTGTTGAAACGCTCCTGTGTCGAACTATGATTTTTAGCGATCGTATCCCGCTAAATGCATCATTTGGTATCTACGAAGAATAGGTGAAACGGTTTTAAGGGATCGATTCGCCCTCGAAGTTTCGCTCGCCGAAGCTTTGTTCGTCAGAAATGATCGAGAGTGTTAAAAAAACAAGGGAGATAAAAATGCGCGCGATGGTCCCGTGACGAGCTATCTTTTAAATAAGTTGTGTTGTCGCCAAGCGACATGGAATGTGTTTGTTACTTTATTTGATCTCCTGAAGAAATATTTGTCCTTGAAGGTTTCTCCGTTAGTATAAAAGAATCAGATTCTTCCGCATGAATTGTAACTGTATATGTACACGCGGCTCGTATTAGTATGCAAAATAATTTTTTACAGTTTTAATTTGCTAGCTTGTATCGTTTTAAAAAAATCAAGAAACAGCCTGCCGCGTTGCAACTTTTACGGAAACGAAAAAACCGCTTCTCGGTGCATCTACGCGTACACGCTGGAAACATTGTCGTTCACGGGTCTCACGATAACGTGGAAATTCCATGAGATTATGAAGAATTGATTTGCATAGAATGACTCACATTGTCCGCGTTCATTTTTTTCAGTATTATTGAACATTACTGACTCAGAGCACGAATTATACGAACGAAGTACGAATTAAACATTCTAAATCGTTGAACTATGGTATCGAAAAACTCGGATACAGAGTTACGTACTCGAATACAAAAACGGTAATTTATTAATGCAGCAAACGTTGCTGCAGCACGAAAACTCAACGGAACGAAATTTGAACGAATTCAATTGGACCGGGGCGGCATGTTTATAGGGAATCTAATCTAATCGAGGTGTTTACACGAATACGCCGTATAATGGTCGACTCGATTAAAATGCCATTAACGTTCGAATTTTTGTGGGGGTTGCGCGCGCACGTGGTAAGCTCGGACGGTGGCGGCCGGAGAGACAAATAGAGAAACGATCGCGGCGGCCGGTTCGCGAAATGAAAAACGAAGAAGGAACAAAGCGGAACGAGATAACGCGCGATTCAGCACGCACACACACACATAGTGGGTGCCGGAGGGAGAGCGGAGCGGAGCATCGGGTACGGCGCACCAAGCGATATTATAAGTGGAGTGATAAAATGAGATCATCGTTAACGCTTCTCGCGCACCGATGCACACGTATTATGCGCAAGGCGAGCCGACCTACGCAGCACAACGACACGCAACGCGGCCGCTGGAAAAAACAACAGGCGCATATATTTGCCGATGTTTACCGGCGTGGCTCGAAAAACGGGCGTGCAGCGATACGAGGCCGCGCGTCCGTGCGGCCGCGTTACGTCACCGGAACGTATTATCGGCGAAGGTCAACACGGACGCACCGAAATGTCCCATCAAGGTGGCCGGAGAGTAAGAATTTCGCGAAGGACCCCGGTCTGTTCGCGCGCGTAACCCTCTCGAGCGGAGCGCCGTCGCGTGACAGGCGACGGAAGAAAGAATCCGACGGAACCCAGAAACGAAGGAAACGAAAATCGCGAATAAACGAACCGTGGAAAGGCGTAATAACAAAGGTCGCGTTCCGCGATCCAGCGACGGCACACGCACGCCCGTTGCCATGTGCCAATGACACCGCGCGGAGCCGAGCGGAGCGGCGTACTCGCGCGCGCACCTACGCGTATGCGGACGTGCCGGTCGGTCGGAGAGCTCGACAACGTTCTCGAGTAGGGTGGAAAATAAAAAGGGGGATAGAGAGAGAGAAAGAGAGAGGGAATGAGTGAAACCGGTACGAAAAAGAAGCTGAAATTTGTCAGCCGTCGGCGGCCGTTTCGAGGGCGGTACATACCTCTTTCCCGTCGTTCAATGTACTCAGCGGCCTGTAGTAGGGCAGCAATGCTCATATTTCCCCGGTTTGGCGTAATTCTGGCGGCTTTGGTTCACTACCTCTTTCCCCAAGGATCTCCCCCGGCACTGACACCGCGCGCGGCGGCCGACGCACAACGCGACAAATGTTCAGAAACGCGCACGACCGGCACGTATTCACCGCGGTGCTGCTGCTGCGACGCGTCGCTGTCCCTCTCTCTGTCGTTACGTTGTTGTTGTTGTTGTTGTTGTTGTTGTAGGTCGGCGGTGCCGCCGCTTCTCGAACTTTTCTCTCCGACCGCCTGTTTCAACCGCCTCTTCTCCTTCTCCTCCTCCTCTTCCTCCGCCACCTCTTCCTCCTTTTCTCGTCCGTCCGCGCGCCTCGCTGGCTGCGTTCGCCCAGAGGTGCACGTAACAACAACACGCTCACGCACACACAGAGAGGGAGAGAGAGAGAGAGAGAGAGAGAGACGAATGCACGCACGAACGTACGTGAGCGCGCGCGCACGCACCGAGAGCCACACACGCACACACACACGCACGCGCGAGAGAAGGAGAGAGAGTTGATAGAGGGAGAGGGAGAGAGAGAGAAAGAGAGGCTGGCTGTAGCCCGATTTCAAACGGGCACTAGATCCGCGGACGGCAAATCGACGGCCGGGCCTCTCGAACCGCGATAGACATCAAGAACCGTCGCTTTTTGTTTGTTTGTTTGTTTCTTTCTTTCTTTCTTTTCCTCTCGATTCCTCGCTCTTGTTTCTCGATACACGTCTCCTTTTTTCCTTCCTCTCTGCCGCCTGTTTCACCAAGAGAAGTTCAACAACTTTCACGTTTGTATTTCGTTTCGCGTACGTCCCTTACGAGCACGAGCTTCTTCTTCTTCTTCTCTCCTTTCGCCGGTTTCCACTCGTGTTCGTGTTCCGGTGTCCGTCTCTTTGTCTCTGCGTGTGCGTGTGTACGTTTACGTGTACGTGTACGAGACCGCGCGCGCCAGCCGTCTGTTTATGTGTGTGGTCCGTGTCTCCACTTCTCGTCTCCTCTCCCCTTTTGTCTCTGCGACGACGTTTCCACTTGTGTGTTGTTACCCTTCTTCTTCTTCTTCTTCTTCTTCTTCTTTCTTCTTCTTCTTCCTCCTCTGAGTCTACTACCTTCTTCCCTTCTCGTTCCTTGTGTCTGTCTCTCTGTCTCTCCCCTCTCTGTTCCCGTTCCTCTAGCTTTCAGTCTGACTTCGTCGGTTCTTCTTTCTTCACCTTCGTTTCACAACATTCACTGTAGGAGCACATCAAAAAAACACGTGAAAGAATATTTCGTACAGGGTCGAATACGAGAGGCGAGAATACGACGCGCCCGCTGCTCTACTCTTCCTAACGGGGAGTCGCGTGTGCGAGCGAACGGGAAGCGTGTTTCGCGATGCGTAAGACAGAGAAAGCCAGATGGCCGGCGAAAAAGAGAGGGGCTCGCAAAAAAAGAGAGAAAATAAGAAGAAAGGAAAGAGTGAGCGAGCGAGAGCGAGATAGAGAGAGAGAGAGAGAGAGAGAGAGAGAGAGAGAGAGAGAGAGAGAGAGAGAGAGAGAGAGAGAAAGCGAAAGAACGAGCGAACTAGCGCGAACGGTACAATTGGAAAGAGGCACTATAGCGAAGTCACTAGGCGAATCGAAGGGGTCGAGATTACGCGTGTCGCCGGTAATTTATCGTGGACGAGGGAACGTACGCGAAATAGAACCTGACCTCGATCGGGGCGGCCGGTTTAACTCGCGCGCCGTCGGCGAACTATTATTTTCTGGTCAGAAACGCAAGTATCGCGGACGGTGTGCACCGTGTGCATGTGCATGCGACCACTTTACGTGCCGGCTACTTGTTTTGTGCAGCGACCTTGAACGCGTAGATCTTACCGGAGTNGCCACACACGCACACACACACGCACGCGCGAGAGAAGGAGAGAGAGTTGATAGAGGGAGAGGGAGAGAGAGAGAAAGAGAGGCTGGCTGTAGCCCGATTTCAAACGGGCACTAGATCCGCGGACGGCAAATCGACGGCCGGGCCTCTCGAACCGCGATAGACATCAAGAACCGTCGCTTTTTGTTTGTTTGTTTGTTTCTTTCTTTCTTTCTTTTCCTCTCGATTCCTCGCTCTTGTTTCTCGATACACGTCTCCTTTTTTCCTTCCTCTCTGCCGCCTGTTTCACCAAGAGAAGTTCAACAACTTTCACGTTTGTATTTCGTTTCGCGTACGTCCCTTACGAGCACGAGCTTCTTCTTCTTCTTCTCTCCTTTCGCCGGTTTCCACTCGTGTTCGTGTTCCGGTGTCCGTCTCTTTGTCTCTGCGTGTGCGTGTGTACGTTTACGTGTACGTGTACGAGACCGCGCGCGCCAGCCGTCTGTTTATGTGTGTGGTCCGTGTCTCCACTTCTCGTCTCCTCTCCCCTTTTGTCTCTGCGACGACGTTTCCACTTGTGTGTTGTTACCCTTCTTCTTCTTCTTCTTCTTCTTCTTCTTTCTTCTTCTTCTTCCTCCTCTGAGTCTACTACCTTCTTCCCTTCTCGTTCCTTGTGTCTGTCTCTCTGTCTCTCCCCTCTCTGTTCCCGTTCCTCTAGCTTTCAGTCTGACTTCGTCGGTTCTTCTTTCTTCACCTTCGTTTCACAACATTCACTGTAGGAGCACATCAAAAAAACACGTGAAAGAATATTTCGTACAGGGTCGAATACGAGAGGCGAGAATACGACGCGCCCGCTGCTCTACTCTTCCTAACGGGGAGTCGCGTGTGCGAGCGAACGGGAAGCGTGTTTCGCGATGCGTAAGACAGAGAAAGCCAGATGGCCGGCGAAAAAGAGAGGGGCTCGCAAAAAAAGAGAGAAAATAAGAAGAAAGGAAAGAGTGAGCGAGCGAGAGCGAGATAGAGAGAGAGAGAGAGAGAGAGAGAGAGAGAGAGAGAGAGAGAGAGAGAAAGCGAAAGAACGAGCGAACTAGCGCGAACGGTACAATTGGAAAGAGGCACTATAGCGAAGTCACTAGGCGAATCGAAGGGGTCGAGATTACGCGTGTCGCCGGTAATTTATCGTGGACGAGGGAACGTACGCGAAATAGAACCTGACCTCGATCGGGGCGGCCGGTTTAACTCGCGCGCCGTCGGCGAACTATTATTTTCTGGTCAGAAACGCAAGTATCGCGGACGGTGTGCACCGTGTGCATGTGCATGCGACCACTTTACGTGCCGGCTACTTGTTTTGTGCAGCGACCTTGAACGCGTAGATCTTACCGGAGTGCCGTGCACACCGAGGAACAGGAGAGAACGGGTCTAGCCGACGCGATATTTCAAACTGCCACGCGAGCTATCGCGACCGCCGGTAATCGAATCTTTCTCGTGACCGATCCGGATTCGAATGTCGCGTGAATCAGTACGATCCTACAAATAAAGCGTCACGAGAGCGAACCGTGCGCATATTGCGATGTGAATGAATTTTCTTTCGAATCGGGTGTTTCTTTCTCCTGTCGCTATACTGCTACTGCTACTGCTGCTGTTATTTTTTTTTCTTTTTTTTTAAACTCGGTCAACTTGTTCCGAGGTCAACGATACCCGACAAACGTACCACGGCATCACTGTGTACTGTACTCGCGGTAGCAACTGGACGAGCCGGGCACATACACACGCGCGCAAGCACGCACACGCACACACGCGCGCGCAAAACGACACATAAAGTCGTTCGCCAATAAAACCGCAATTTGCTCGTCAGAGAGAAAACGTACGTTGTTCACGGACAGAGGAACGCGCGCGGCGGCAAATCTTCTAGAAACTCGTATTGTACGCGGCCGTTCGTGCAGGCTGTTTCTACTGGTTCCCCGGTTCACGATGGGAATACAGAAAGGCGCTCCCTTGATTCCGTTCTCGCGACCGGACTGCGAGCGATTTTAAGTACACATGCACGTCACACCGCACAAACACGCCCACGCACACGCGCGCGCGACGCGAGCGAAAATGCTCGTAAGCGATCGGCGGTATATCGGAATACGTTTCCCATACGAGAAAACAACTGCAACACGCTCGGTGCACACACGTTAGCTGTGCGTGGAACGTTCCGCGGATACAGTACCACGGATAGAGAGAGAAAGAGAGAGAGAGAGAAAGAAAGAGAGCGAGAGAGAACCCGAGAAGGAGGGAGCGAGTTAGAGACCGAGAATGAGACAGTGAGAGAGGGAGGGAGCGAAAGAGCGAGAGAAACGACACGCAATTCGCGAAATCAATCTAAAAAGGGTTACGAGAATGTGTGCCGCGTACTCGAGAAAATATTTATGCACGTTCCCGACAATGTTTTCCGTTCTATTGTGAATCTGGTACCTCTCGCCTCTTGTGTACATGCACCGACGAACGCGAACGTGCGTGTGGATGACGTAGGAGGTCCGGAGTGTATTTCGACCCTATCGTCCACCTAGTGACATTTGGCACGCCGGATACGTTCGCTCACACACGAAAGTAGGCGCAGCTGAGCGACGGCGTAAAGAAAGACGGTCACTGTAGATGATCGACACTGCCTAACACTACTCCTGCACAGGTTTTCGCGGGTAGAAAAAGGGGTAAACTAGTCAGAATAAAGGAAAGAAGGCTCGAACTGACCGACGACGACGAGCCTACGAGCCCCCGACGACGACGACGACGACTACGACAAGCCGACGAGCGAGCGACAGCCTGATACCTCCGCACTTCGCGAGCACTCTCACGCATTTATCGATGTCAAACGTCTCTGCACCGTCGAAGCATCAGGCGTCGTTTCTTACGGCCGCGACGATTGGCCGAGCGGTGCGCGAGTGCACTGCCTCCGCCAATCGGCGCCGGTTTCACGGAGCCGCCGTACGAGCCGCCACCAGCACCGGTGGTGTCACGTGAATCTCATGCCCGAAAACAAAACAAACAGCTGGCCGTGTTCCTCGCCTCGCTCTCTTGCACGCTATCGTGCGTGTGCTTTTGATGCATGATATTCCTGGACTGTGTATCCCCTTCGTCCTGTACAAGGTAGAAAAGCCGACGGATTTCATAGATTTCTGAAACTCCTCGTCGAAACGGTTCGCCTAATTGACTTCGCGTATCACGCTTTTATCCGCGATATCTGCATTAAAATCCTGCGAAATTCATCCACGCGAATTTTTATAGACCATTCGTCTTTCTACGAATCCGATAAACAACGCGCGACGATATCTTATGGAATCGGTTGCGAAAGATCCGGTATATCGATTGGTAGCTTCTTATCTCGAGTGGTTAAAGAAAGGCGCATTTGAAAATTCATATAATCGCGCCATCTCCTGTGTCCCACACTTATCGTCCCCCATACTTTTTCAATTGGTACTTCTGAATTTACGCTACGCACAACGTCTGTACGGCATCGTGTTTGAATTCAACGAATCTCCGATGTTGATGTCAAGAAATTGGATGATTTTGCAGATCGTGAGTGTGAAAAGTACGCATCGAGGCACGCTGAACCATGAAATGTACGTATATATCATGCGGTTACATCGAAGGTTAGAAGACTTGTAGAAAAACCGCTGTTTGTATACGGAGCTGGAGGGGAATTGGTGAGTTGCACGAAATTTAGATTTTTTTCAGCTTTTTTTTACTTCTTCTTTTAAAAAAAAACGTTGTCATTCACGAATTATGTAAACACGTGCCGAAGTAACGAGGAATATTGTCATTTACAATTATTTTCACGGCTTGAATAACCTGTGAGAGCAAATTGGTACCGATATCGTGGTCCACGTTTTTTTTTACACATGCTATAAATACGAACAATTGCAATTTTCGGCAAGTGTCCATTTTGTACAATGGGAAGACATATTATTACAAAGAATGCAGTTTTTTAATAAATTTATTGACAAATAGATGTAAATCATAAATAATTTAAACAATAATTTTCTTTTTGTACAAAAATGGTTATTAAATATTTTATTGCAGATTTATGTTCTATTTCTTGCGATTTTTATTTATTTTTTGAGAAAAATATACATAAAAACAGCTTGTATAATGTTTTGATGTTGATATTATATCTATTTGACATTTAAAGTTAATTATTTTTAATTATTCTATTACATTCGTGACACAGGAACTATATCCATTAATGTAAGAGCATTTTGGATTACAATTTGCAATGCATACAGCATGAATAATCTTGCGGTCATTGTTGGAATCAAATGATCATATGCTTCCTATAACAGAATATTAATATCTATTAGTAAACGCAATATAATATTAAAATATCTTTAGTAATAATGCACAATGATACTAACAGTCAAAATTCTAATTCTGCGATAATATACACTAAATTTATGACACATTCTAGATAAAAATATACATAGAATTTGAGGATTGGTTTGGAACACAGGTTCATATTTTATGCAATCCTTTATGATTTCTTGGTATCCGATAATAAAGTTGTACACAAGTTCCCATTCTTCCTGCAAACAGTACATTTTATAAATTACTATCTCTTATCGATCCAGCCAATAGCTAAAAAGTCTTTAAATAAAATACTTCTTGGTCCAGCAAAGAAAAGTTTACATCACTGATGTCTGGCAAATCAGGATATTCTCCTGCCAATCTTTTGTTATTATATTTTTCAATAATAGCAGCAATTCTTGTAGCATTATATAACACAAAGGGTGCACCTAAAAACTGATAATAATGAAGAATGTTTGTTCAGAACTTTTGATAAATGCATATTATATTTCAAAGTCCAAGGACCTTTTGTATTTGTAGTGGTTCTGTCAGCTGCAGCCTTGTATCCGATAAAAACAGCACGGCTTGGTTTTACAGACAATAATTCAAATGTGGTTGTTGCTTTAGCAAGATTCTCAAGGAACTGTTCGTCTGCTCCTATATCTTTCTCATACATTTCAGAATTCCTCTGATCATTTAATACTTTCAATTCGTTTATCTTATTTTCTATATATTCCTCGTATGTTAACAGCGTCTCTTTACCATTCGATTTTGAATTCTTGACTATGCCGCATACACACCTCTTAGAACTGTCCTCCATTTTTCCTTGCGACTTACTGGTAAATACAACTTTAAGGTCAGCATCCTCTTTAGATATTTTGCAGCCATGGAGATCTAAGATGTTCTTGGTAACAATTTGTATCAAATTTAACCTTGCCGTTGTTAGTTCAGATTCTTTATCCTGCTGAGTCCTTAAACTACAGATTTTATTAACCGGCGATCTTCTTCCGTAGTCATGTTTTCGTTCAATGACTGTCCTAATAGAGTATTGTAGAATAGGAACACGTTGCAAAAACAAACAGATCCTTTCTTTCTGCAAAAAATATTTTTCAATTTGTATCGTCCAGCTTTCGCTCGATGATATTAATAGGGATAAAACCTGAAAAGAAAAATGTGTTACTATCAAAACTAGGTTATGTTTGGCTGTTTTATAGAACATATTTAAAATTTAACATTACCTCGTTTGCAATGTCCACATCAGTTTTATCATCTATTCGCTTATTGTGCATATGCAAGAAATGTTGCAGAACCGTTGTGCACTTTCCATCGCATGCATCTTTACCTTGGAACACATTCCTCCATACTTTTAGGCTAGGTAAAAAATACAATTCACCATTTGTTGACAAACTGTCGTTGCTTACTTTAATGACTGAACTATTTGTACAATCATTACCAGTTAAATACAATGCAATATTATTGATTAGCGTCTCTATGCAAATAGACGTATTTTCCATTTAAAACACCTAAATCTGAGCACTCCAATGTAAACTAGACTCAACTTGCCTGCAATATGAGTTGCTCACAATTCATAACCATGAGAGGTCCTTATGATCCATGAATTATTATAATTACGATAGAAAATTTGTGAAATTTTATTTCAGCGATTTATACAACACGTTCGTTAAATTTTACATGAAAACATCCACCTATAAGGTATTCCTGACTTTCTAACAATATACATAAACAATAAATCGATCAGGTGTACAATGATTTCCAATGTGGTTTCTTTATTAGAGTCAGAAAGTAAACCGTGCAAATAAGTGTTTGCAAATGGTAACATTTAATATATTATTCGCTATACTTATAAATACGTTCTCGTATCTTACACATGTCATCGCGAAAACAAAGGAAAGAAACAACTTTCTTCTAATTAAGCGTATCTAGAATAACGATCGATCGTTAAGTAAAATACTTGGCCGTAAATACATAAATAATATTCTAGACTTTACATCTTTGATATTTCATATCACATAGAATGATGATACTTAACGTAAGCTATCGCAGCGAGTTCTTTGCAGAATTCTTCCGTGACGATCACGCTCTCGAACAAAATGTTCTCCTTCTCCCTGCAATCGAAACAACGAATAATTTTAATCCAGCAAAATACACGTAAGTTACAAGGGTAATAGATTTGACGGGACACTCGAAACTCCAAATCCTGCTCCACATTTTAAATTACAGTTTTAACTAGTCCCTGCTCTATTAATTAGCTACTTCTTCTTAGTTAATTCTTCATTAGCGATAACTATTTCAAAAACCATTAAGTTCCCTTGAATAATCATTTCTTTTAGATTTGTCGTGGTTCTCTCAGCTCCGGTAAGCAAAGTGTCAAGTTTCGTACAATAATATGCAATGTTTACGACGAAGAGAAGCAAGATTTGGCCGATATCGTCCCTTAGGATCGTCTGAATGGGTCTCCACGCACCCATCATGGGAGCATTCCTCCAGAAGACGTTCCCTGGTGTCCTTCAGCATCTGCTTGTGATCCGGCGTCTTTGGTACCTCGTTCACGAGCTGCTTGACGACTTTTTGCAAGCAAGTGAACAAGTTTTTTGTGCCGGGTGCCAACGGTAGCAGCGGGTTCAGTAAAAATTCATGCAGGTACGGATGAGGTAACAGCGCCAGCCTCGAGATCACCACGGTCAGCTGAAGGTTGACCTCGTACTTCTGCCGCGGTATATTGGCCACCTTCTCGAAGAGCATGGCCATGAACGGGCCCATGTAGAACCGCACCGAACAGTGGTCCGCTTCCGGTCTGGAGTCGGAGCTCGCGGAATCGTCGACGGTCACCGCTTCCAACGGCCACGCCATCAGCGAGCAGTCCGATAACACCGTCGAATACTGCCTCTCCAAATCAGTCATGTACCGTTCGTAATTATTTACGTCCGTGTCCGTCTGCAGATAGCGCGGAATCAGGGACAGGAAGCTGGAACAGGGGTTTGATATTGAATCGCTGTTGTTCCCCTCGTTAGTCTGTTCGGAACTAGATTACAGACGCCGCGCGAGATAGAGAAGGTAGATCGGTTTTCTTAGCGGCTTCGAACGCGCACGAGTTACCCCGGGAACGTGAACCATGAAATAGAAACGTAATGCCCACGATAGGAGGCCCGGACGAAGGGGAGCGGTTCTTCCTCGAACGAGAGCTTAGAATACGGCACAGTTGCGAGAACGGATCGGTCTCTCCGAGCTGGATTATTCGGAATCGTTTTACCCTATCTTCCAAGAAACGGAGTCGCTCGAACGAAAACTTTACCAGTTCACGATTCTGTGAATGTTACTCGGCGCCAACGTCCGGCTATGGCTCTGCTCGTACGACAGATCCAACGATCCCTTCTTTTCTCTCTCTCGCTCGTCCTCCTCGTCGCTCCAGGAGGCGATCGCGCTGTCCGCAGCAGTGTTATCGTAATAGCCTCTGGTCAACAGGTAGACCAGCACGAGACAGTGCAATATATGCTCGTTCCTCTTCTCGATCATTTCCTCGAACAGCTTCAACGTTTCCAACGTTAGATCGTCGCTGTCCGTGAAACAGTTGTCTATCAGCCTGTGCAGCACAGGCGACGTCCACACGTTCGGAATTTCTGGGCCGCGGTCTTGGCCGACCAGCCAGTAGCTGATCTCTGAAACGAAGCGTTACCATTTTACCGGAATGTTCGACTTTTTTATCGCGTCGAGGTAGAACTCTCGCGAGGAAGATCTATGTATATACGAGTTATACAGACCCGTGCACAGAGCGGCGCAGGTGAGCTCCTTGAGACACTTGGTGACCAGCGCGGTGATCAGAACGACGTGGTGCTCGGCCAAGGCCGGTGTCACGATCTTCTCGAAGAAGTTCACCTTGATGCTCTTCGCTAGCGCGTCCGCGACGTTCGGATAGGCCTCCCGCACCAGCTGGTTGCAGTAGTCGAACCACATGAAGAACGCGGCGACCTGTCTGCATCCGGAGAACTTTTTCTCCTTCGTCCAGATCGGCGAGTCCAGGCCCCACGTGACGTCCACGCCGTCGATCTCGTTCGGGTCCACGTGCGCCGGAATAGCGTTGAAAAGGCTCTCCAATCGGCCGGGCACCGAGGTTATTAAATCGCTGTTGGCAATCATCTGGGCGAACGACGGGTCGTCCAAGGACGCCAGAACCATTATCCCCTCGCAGGCTCTTATCCTCACGGTATTGTCCTGCAATAAACGATCGATTTCAATGGCCGGGAACGGGCGGAGGCGCTACGCTGCTCGCTTACCGCGGTGTTTATGTAACTCAACAAGGCATCTAATAGAAGGCATTTAGACTTCTCCGGCGGCTTAGGGTCGAGCAGATCCCGGTCGCTGTCCGCGTAGCCGACGTCCTCGTAGCCGCCGTACTCGGCGTCCAGCCTGAGATCCCTAAGGTTCTGCAGGTGCGCGTCTATCTCGTTCATCAGAGCCGCGTCCTCGGCCTTCTGCGAGGTCGTCTCGTAGTCTTGGCTCTCGGAGCACCGGGGCCTGACGCGCGAGACAGCCTCGCCGATCGGTTTCGGCGTGGCGGGGCTCGAGGACGCGGAGACGTTCTCCTGTTCCGCGGAGGACACCGACTCGTTCGACCGGCTGGAGGTTCCGTTGGTCGCGGCGGACTTGCCAGCGGGCCTACAGGCCCCGGGGAGTCGCCTCCTCTCGTTCTCCGAGTGGAACAAATTCGGGTTTATCAAGGTCACCGCCTGGGTGTCCAGAGGCTCGAACAGGGGGTTGAAGCTGTTCCACTTTCGGGCCGGTATATAGGTGACCTTCTCGATCTCGATCCGCTCGGAGTTCCTCCTGGCGGAGGCGGCCTGCCTCTGAACGTTCGGCGCGTCGTTTATGATGTTGGTCACGTGGGGGTACTTGCAGACCAGGAAGCAGAGGGTCAGCAGGAACTGGACCTCCTCGGCCTCCATGGGTGACGGGGTGCTGCCGGTGCAGAGGGTGATCAGCCGTTGCACCGGCGCGTAGATCGAGGTGTGGTGCAACAGGGGGTACTTGGACCTTCCCAGCAGCTTCCTGAGGAAGGCCAGGCAGACCGTTCTCATCCCTGGGGGGGTCTCCGCGCTGGCCAGCGTGGCCAGCAGGTCCAGCAGCTTGTGCTGCAACAGGTACTCCAAGCACGGGCCCGGCTCATCCTCCTCCTTCTCCTCCTCGAGCAGGATCTCCAGCAACCTGTCCAAGTGCCTCGGTATACCGGTGGTCTGTATCGGCACCTTACAGTCGGTCAGATGGTTCACATAAAAGTTCATCAGCTGCTTCCAATGGTACGTGAAGTCCTGCAGCGGCGTGGCCGGCGGCGCGATCTGCGAACAAACCGCGCGGCTTCTTGTGACCGACGTAGGACCCGGGGACCGACGGGATCGCGTTACATGCCCCTCCTTCCCGTTGTTGTTCAGGAAGGCCAGGTAAGGCGCGAAACAAGCTGGGAGATTATCGAACGTACACATGTTAACGAGCCGACGACGACGACGACGACGACGGAGGAGGACAGGTGCGCTCGGTCTACTTCGAACAATTACATAACCGGTTAAATATAAAACGGCGTACATGTGTCCGCCAGTTCGAACCGTGCCAGAACGGACACCCTCCCCTGGCGATCCATCGAGAAGCATCCCTGCCACAGTCCGGTCCGGCACCGGTTCTAAACGGACGGTTCCGGACCGGCGGCGATACCGTGACGCGACAAAGCCGAGCCGGAGTCGTGGGCGCGGAGAAAGAGACGGACAGAGAGATCGAACGAGGGAGAGAGAGAGAGAGAGCTGGTTTTGCACACTACACGATGGTCAAAGGCACGGCACACGGACAGATCGATAGATGGAACGTAAATAAATACACAGGAACGCGAGACGACGGTGCGGAGCGGCGACGTAAACGCGTGCGACGCCGATCGATCGGGGGGGCTGCTGCCTTAAAATGCATCTCGTGTTTACGGCGATCGGTTTACGAAGATCAGGGACGAAGAAGAAGTAGTCGGGGAGACACGATCGATTCGTTCCGTGGGAAAACGCGGGCAAAGGGACGTGCCTAGCCGCGAGAATCGGCGTGAAGCTTTTATCAGTTAGAAGGGGGTTATCACTCACCACGTCAATGGCATTCTTCAGCGCGATCTGAATGCCGCTGATCATTTTAATTCACGTTCGCGTCGATCGTAGCCGGTTATGCCTTGCCACGCACGAGCCTTCTTGCGCGGTGACGCCGCGGTTCCGCATAATTTTCCATCGTTCGCTGTCTCGCGATTCCCCGTGCAATCGCTTACTGTCTCCGCGACAGCGTTGCTTTGCGGCTTTGACGTGCCGTGGTTCTCCGCAATGGCCGCCAGGGGACGACAGCGGCGGAAACAGATGCGGTGACCTTTGCAGCTGCTGCGGCATTGGAGGGGAAAAAACGCGCAAGCCGTCCCGACCGATGTTTATTAATCGATCTAGCATCGATAGGTGCTAATTGGCATACGTTGTCGCGAATATCGCTTGCGAATCGCTCTCGGTCCCCGGGTTCGCCGAAACTTTCCTTTGTTTCCGCCGTTGTTAAAGGAAAACCGAGTCACGTGCGAACCATCTGGTGGGAGAAGCGGGAAATGTCGTTGTAGCTGCGGTTTTCGAGCTGCGACCATGTTATTGAATATTCAAGATTTCTCCTTGAATATGCATCCGCGTCGAAAATGTCGCGAAAATCGCTCGCTCGAGGCACGCCGCGCTGCTGCGATGATCACCTAGGGGACCGAAACAGGCTTATATTCGCCTAATTCTTCTTGGAGCAGGGAACAATTTCCTGGAGAACCTCGTACCAATGTCTTCAAAATCTGAACTCGTTCGAACCACCTCTGAGAAAGTTTACACCGTTGTTAAGTAGATCACGGATCGTTGCGCAAAATACGAATTTTGTTCGGCGATCGCACGAAACGAGAGTTCGAATAAAAATGCCTTCTTTCGATCGTTTTAATCGATCGAAAACGACGCAACGATATTCGGAATTGTTCCAATATTTATTTCGCTGTTCTCCGTTGCTCTTATCAATTTCTACACCGCAAACTAGAACTCTTCCTCGTCGATTGTTCGAACTTCCAACGGTTTAAAAAAAGTTCCCCGACTCGTCGATCCGTAATAAAAATTCTGAAATGTCTCATCGATTTCTCGATAACAAAAAACAGTTATTGCTGCTTGCCTCGCGACAGAATCCCCCCATCGTCCACCGTGTGTTCCCCCTATTCGCGAGCTATACATCCAAGTTCGCTCGAGCGTGGCAATCTCCAGCCGTGCGCGTTTTAATAAATCGCGCGCGGCATGAACGCGCGCGGCACGCGTGCATTCCGTATCGGCGACGGCGAACAGGTTCGGGCCGCGCGAACAGCGAAGGGTAAATGGGATTTACGATAATTTTTATTTTGCACCTTCAACATGTACACATCTCAACAACATTAACCGTTTTGTTAATTGTAAAAAAAGTCGCGACGCTCCGAAAGCTGCGATGCTCCGCCGCCAATCGAGCAATCGATCGGTGTTCTCCGGCAATTATCGGACCGGCGTTTTAATCCGAGCAACGATATCATCGCCCCCCTGTACAGGAATTGTATTTTATCCGATCGATGGAACTCCCGCGCGCGGTTTCGCTCGCTATCGGCGCAATCGGCGGCGTGCAAAAAAGCGATTCCGACAGCCTTCGAGCTCTCTCTCTCTCTTTCGGACGGAAACGGACACATCGCGTCTCTCGGAGCTGTTGATTTTTCTTACGCAACCTAGAAGAGTAGTTCGATGCTCGACTAAAAAGAACGATGCCGCGACGTAGGAATCTCGAGTGTCCCCGCACTTTTTCTTTTTCTCTCGTCGGATACACAGAGTTCTCTCTCTCTCTCTCTCTCTCTTTCTCTCTTCTTATATTTTCGTTCCACCGGAATTCTCCGGCGGTTTCTTTTTTTCTGCACGTATGCGTTTTCTCGTTTATCTTGTTCAACCGTTTAGTAAAATACGCCACGGCGCGCGCGCGCCGCGTGCGCGGCTTCGCGTCGACGCTCCTATAGCACTCTCCGTCTCTAACTATCCTATAGCGAAAACGACTCTCACGTGGGTCCGCGTGATCTTGCGATATCGGTTCACAGCCGGCCGCTAGGACGAGTACTCACCGCCTTCAGTCGCCACAGTCGTCGCAGCATCGATGATGATTCCGATGATAATGATTGCCGAGGTGTGGGGGGTACACGGGGAGAACCAGGCGTGTGGAGGCACGATCGCGCGGGTTAAATTTAACCGGAGATATCTCGAGTTCGAATCGCGAGGAAAACGCGGCCGCCTCTGTCCGGCAGGTGAACGCATCTACCGTGTACACTCGATTCTCCTATTTTTTTTATCGCCGCCGCGACGCTTTATCATCGACGGCAATAATAACTGGTACATGGAACACACACATGGCGAGCCGAGCCGAGCCTCGATCGCGGCGCGATCGCGACCGATCCTTGCCTCCGTTTCGCAATAGGCACGCGGCTCGAATAGCGATCGACGATCGAAATAAAACGCCGATTGCGTCACTCGGCTCTTCGTCGGCACCGGTTTCCATCGGGAGGAGGAACGGACGCGGTTTCTCGTGCACCGATGGAGAGATCTCTTCGACGTCGTCCCGGTCCCAGACGTGTTCGCTCGACGGAGTGAATTCGCTCGGACACGATCGACGAAGTCATCTTTTCGTGTTGTTCGACGCTTCGCGACGATCTAACCGCGGATCTTTATGCAAGATAGAAATTGTCCGAGACGATTTCGAGGAACGGAAACGAGATGGAAACGAAACGTTTCTTTCGATTTGTTGTAATAAATTGAAACTAGCATCGTTCGAATCCTTCTTACGCAATTGTCGCAATTTCGTGCTTCAGCTTTTGTCGTAAATGCATAAAAATCCGCGGTCCGATCGCAACGATTCTCTCTCTCCATCGATCGCCCTCGATGCGCGAGGCGGCAACGGGAATAAATTGTGCTAGCGTACGGGTGTCGCTCTTCTCGCGGGTTTTCCGTTCGACTGGGTGCGCTTCCGTTTAAGTCTCAGGCTGGCGATGTCGACGCGTCGAGAGATCGTTTCTCGGTGGCGAATGGCTACGGCTGAGAAAAATCGTAGAATCGCCCCGCCTTCGTAACAAGAACAAAAATATGGGCACGTCCAAAGAACACGTGTCTCGGGCGCGACCGTGGCCTATAAATCTAAAAATACTTCAAACCGTCTAATCCCTCAAAACGGTACTACTACTCTTTCTCTAATAAACTGTTGCAAAACACTCGCTAATCCGCACGCAAATTCGCACTCTCGCACGCTTTCGCCCCCCCCCCCTTGCATATTCGCTCCGCGCCTTCTCTCTTTTTGTTCAGCCGGCGCTCGCGCTCCCTCTAAAATATTACACACAGCTTGCATAGGATTGGATCGACGACGATGCGAACGATTTACGAACCGAGGATCCGTCTGTTTTCTCTGTCCTCCTCGCCGAACACGCGAAACGGAAGAGGCCGGCCCAGCGATTCCGAGGACGGCCGATGTTTCGATCGAGTTTTAACCCTCTCCGCGTCGAGCATCCTTCGTCGTCGGCGTTTCCGCAGGAAAGATCGTCGTCCTATTCAGGTACTTTGGCGCGGCCCAGCCGAAAGGGTCGTTTTCGTCTCGGTGAACTTCGCGAAGTTCGCGCAGCACCGTCTAGAACACCTGTACCTTCTCGAATCCGCTCCCGGCTGCAACCTGGCTGCAACTCTGGCAGTAGTTCGGTGTCCGTCGAATGCGCCGACCCGTGCAATTTCATGGCCGACATCGATGTCGAATCGAATTCGAAGCAGCGCGGCTCTGTTCGATATCGCCCGGAGATCCGCTCTTCTTCGATGTTGCGATTCGCAGAAACGACACGAATGCCGAACCGGATGATCATCGACGTCCTGACGCCGATTCTCGACGATCGACGACGATCCTCGACACGATCTAGGCTACGTTCTCTTCGGTCTACTATGTACAAACGAGTGCACGCTGCTCCTTCGTATCTCCTCTCTTTTCCTTCTTCGTTCCGTTTCTTTGCTGTACAATTTCTTCACCACTATCATTCTCTGGTTCACGCGATCTCTCTCTCTCTCTCTCTCTCTCTCTCACGATTCTCTCGCACACAATCTCGCTCGCGATCATACTTTATTCACAAGTTTCCTCGCTAGCTCGCCGCGATATTTTGCTTCCATCCTCGGCATATACATATATATGCATGACTTTTTTCTCTCAAGCATTCTTGTCTGTGTTATCGATGAGTGTGTGTGTCTGTCTGTATATATGCGCGCGTGTTTGTGTGTGTGTATTTACGTGTTCTGTGTTTCCGTGTCGTATGTAGTTGTCACAGTGTCTAACTTAATTTAAGCTGGTTTTGAGTAGACTGGGCACAGCCGTTATCTTCACCGATTCGACGCGGCTACTGCGGCGACCAGCGCTGCACCACGTCCGCTACCATCTTCCGACAGCATCAGGTCGAACTGCAAACAAAGGAGCAAGTCAATTGACGTCGGCCTCCGAGAACTCGGCGAATATCGCAGCTGTTAAATTGAATCTGTTTAGCGACGATCCAATTCTTTCCGGATCTTAACGGAGAGGAAGAATGTTCTAATACTGTCAATAGTTGAGCCATTTATTTTGACAGTGGCATAAGTCGCTTTGTTTTTAAGTCGATATATTCAAGGGTTTGCGTTTTAACAAGTTTAAAAATATGAATGCTAACTTTCGAGATGATTTACTTGTATTATTTCAGGATACTGATATTTTTCTCGGTATAAATAATTTCGTATAAACATTAAAAAAATCACCACTTTTCATTAACGGTGAAGTGACTTATGCCACTTTCAAAATAAACGGATCGGTTCATTGGGACATCGGATTACATACTCTGTGAAACGCGCGATCGTAATTCATGATTCAAGGATGATTAATGATTCAACTATGAACAGTTTTATAAAGNTCTCTCTCTCTCTCTCTCTCTCTCTCACGATTCTCTCGCACACAATCTCGCTCGCGATCATACTTTATTCACAAGTTTCCTCGCTAGCTCGCCGCGATATTTTGCTTCCATCCTCGGCATATACATATATATGCATGACTTTTTTCTCTCAAGCATTCTTGTCTGTGTTATCGATGAGTGTGTGTGTCTGTCTGTATATATGCGCGCGTGTTTGTGTGTGTGTATTTACGTGTTCTGTGTTTCCGTGTCGTATGTAGTTGTCACAGTGTCTAACTTAATTTAAGCTGGTTTTGAGTAGACTGGGCACAGCCGTTATCTTCACCGATTCGACGCGGCTACTGCGGCGACCAGCGCTGCACCACGTCCGCTACCATCTTCCGACAGCATCAGGTCGAACTGCAAACAAAGGAGCAAGTCAATTGACGTCGGCCTCCGAGAACTCGGCGAATATCGCAGCTGTTAAATTGAATCTGTTTAGCGACGATCCAATTCTTTCCGGATCTTAACGGAGAGGAAGAATGTTCTAATACTGTCAATAGTTGAGCCATTTATTTTGACAGTGGCATAAGTCGCTTTGTTTTTAAGTCGATATATTCAAGGGTTTGCGTTTTAACAAGTTTAAAAATATGAATGCTAACTTTCGAGATGATTTACTTGTATTATTTCAGGATACTGATATTTTTCTCGGTATAAATAATTTCGTATAAACATTAAAAAAATCACCACTTTTCATTAACGGTGAAGTGACTTATGCCACTTTCAAAATAAACGGATCGGTTCATTGGGACATCGGATTACATACTCTGTGAAACGCGCGATCGTAATTCATGATTCAAGGATGATTAATGATTCAACTATGAACAGTTTTATAAAGTTGTTTTTTATCGAGCCACGCTGCGACTCGTCTTCGTTCTCTTAGTTACGAGACGCGATCTCGAGGTATAAAATAGAAAGTTCGATAACAATTCGAACGATATTTTAAGCTATTTCGCGACAGCTACCGAGAAAGACTAACTCGGGAACGGAAACGTAAAGGAATCTTCTGTAACGCGATAGGCCAGTGTGAAATAGAAAAAAATGCCCTGTTCGCATCACCGAAACTGTACTTTCGCAGCGAAATAAAAGGAACGTGCAATGTATCCCGGCGACGCTCACCTTGTGACTCTGTAGTTGACTAATTTTTTCGGTCATAAGATCGTGAAAGTGTGGGTGAAATCTGTAGACCGAACCGTCGATGCCGACCGTGACTTGGTCCTCTCCCATTTTGTTGAGAAGGGTGGCGATACCAGCACTGGCAAGATGAGCGGCCCTCCTCGACACCACCGAGCAAACGTACCTGATGTTCTCGCAATCCTGGTCGCTTACGTTTCGTATACCCAGCTCCGCTAGAACCTCGCGGCAGTTTGTGTATTTACCTTTGGGATCGCTGAAAAGAAACGGCGTTTTTGAACAGTCCTTTCGAAGACGGCTGATCGCACGTATATATAGAATAATTTTCCCCCGTCAACGTCTTCGTATATCCAAATTATTATTTATTTAACCGAATAACGATCTTCATTCGTTCAGTATTTTCTTAAGCTTATTCGCTTACTATATTATTATTATTATTATTATTATTATAATTATTATATATATATATAATATATATATAATATATATATATATATTATTATAATAATATATATATATATATATATATATATATATATTATAGCTTATAATATTATTATTAGCTCCGCAGAAGAAAGAGTGAAATAATTTTTGCGGTATTTTAAGAACCTCCGTCTTTTATACCGTTTAATTTTAATATATAAATAATCAATTGAATTTGAATAAAAAGATTTGGTAAGTCTCGTACGATAAGTATAAAGTTAATTATACTCGAAGATAAAAAACGGCACAGCGATTGGTTACCCCGCGGTAACTGGCTTCGCTACCCTGCCGTAAAAACTATCACGCTGACGAGGGAGAAGAAATTCGATGGATCGCGTTTAACGTCTGCAACACTCACTTTTCGATTTCGGAAACGTATTTGGTGAAGAATTTGCCGCGCTTTTTGAGATCGGGGGCAGACCTGCCGCCAAATAGCAGGCCGGCGTCGACGCACTTCTCGATGACCAACCTCGTCAGCTCGCCCATGTACATTCCGGAGATCATTTTCTCGAACAGCTGTTTCTTCTTGTTGATCGAATGGTCGTCGATCGCTTGATCGAACTCCGTCACGACGAAATCGAGAACACCACCCTCTCCGAAAGCACCCCATTCGGTGTTGATCAGCATGTGCGGCTTGTTTTCTGAGTAATTCCCAGGAATCGCGCATTCCACGTTCTTCACGTTTTCGACGTAGCAGGCGTTTGCGCCCGTACCTGAATGCACAGAAACAATCGAACGAATGATCGCTGGCTCGATCAGCATCGCGAAATTTCCCCTAACAATGTTCCATCGAAATCTCATTCTCAATACTTCGTTGAGGCTGACCGGTATCGCGAATTCCGTTCGTTTCCTCCACGAAGATTTCACAATAATCGCGAGATTGTATCTATTTAAATTTCCTGTGATTTTTTTAATAATACTTTTCATATATTTCATATATTATTTTCTTTTTATTACAATGTATGTTCGAACGAAGAGGTTCGTATGAAAATTTCTGACGAAAACATTTGTACAGTATCGGAGATTTGAAAATAAAATAAAAATGAGAAACCAATCGTCTCTCATGGCTCGGTACATAGTTTCTAGCGTCGAACGTCATCCGGAGTTCAAGAGACGTCGAATTACGAAGATAACAACGATTGTTAAAAACAGCCGAGCACGTATGTTCGTCCCGGACAAAGTACAGATTTGCCTCGAGTTCATATTTTCCTTCTTCCGACAATAGAACTTAAGCCTTTCGTTGATTAATTGTGTACACACTCACCGACGATCATTCCGATACGGCAGTTCCTGTTTTTCCAAGCGCATGACATTAACGTGCCGGTGGTGTCGTTCAGAATAGCGCACACGTCGATTTTAACGTCCTGCACAACAAAATCGAGATTACCAGCGCGTTCTCCACGATTGTTCGCGCTGTTATCCACGCGCGCGACCAATACGCTTTCGTCTCGTTGTTCCCGGATTCCGTTGTTTCGTAATCCCCGCGAAATTATCAACGATAAATACGCCAATTCGAAGGGGGAACACGACCGCGAAACAACAACGGAGCCCGAATTAGACGACGCGCGATACGAAACGTCGATTCGCGGTTACTCACGTTTCTTCTGTTTATCGCCGCTTCGAGAAGAGCGACCACGTCTTCGCCCACCACGCCGCTGCAATTGAATCCCTTGGTCCACCTAGCGAGGTAACCCTTCGTCAGGCCCTCCTGGGTCAGCGGGAAGCTGAAGGTGAAACCCAACGGGAGCAGCTCGTCCTGCAGGTTCAGGTCCTTGACGAACAACGCCAGACACTGGGCTATGTGATCGAACAGCTGCGTGCCGGTGCCCAGCATCAGGGACTGCGGTATCGCGTAAATTTTGCTCTTCATGTCGAAGTTCATGCCGTCCAGAGTGATCAGGAGTACCCTGAAGTTCGTGCCGCCCAGATCCAGGGCCAGGAAGTTACCCTTCTCTGCGAACAAGCCGTGTTTCGATCTTAGAACGCCCCGAAAACGCCTCTCTCGTCTATCAAAGTTTCGAGGAGTCGCGAAACAATTTCGTTCTGGATTATTCGTCGGCACCGATTAACCCAGTTAGCCGTTGCAATCTCTTCGAGAAGGGAACCAGCGGCCAGACGTAGAGTTCAGTTGCAATGAAATGACTGTTTCGTTTTTTAATTGTATTACTAACATTTGTTTATTTATCTAATTGGTAATCTAAATACGAGCGGCGCTCGTTTCTTCTAAATACAGTAATGTCTCCCTAATTGACGCTCAGATTGTTCACAAAAATGGACAATTTGGGAAGACGAGATGCGATCATTCGAGCCTCACGGTTTGTCTTTACAGTTACGATTTGTCAGCAATTACAAAAACGAGCCGCAAGGCTCGAATAATCGAATCTCCTCTTCCCACATTGTCCATTTTTCTGCACTATCTGAGCGTCAGTTAGGGAGACATTACTGTAGAAACAAAGCTCGAATCCTCTGTCAACGAAAATGGCCTGGATTTATCAGGGAAATGATTAAGTACGAAGAAGCGCTAATCAACGTAGACACAAAAGAAATCGTAGCGCAAGAAGTTAACCGTTGAGACGGAGTGTTAGAAATGGTATAGAAATCTCTATACAAAATGGCTATTCAGAATATTAACAGGAATTTGTTCCGACGTTTTCGTCGTAACGTTCTCTCCGACGTTTTCCTCGAAGCATCGAGGAACGTTGCAATTCACCTCGACAGACAACAATAGGACAATTTAAAGAAGTATTTTAATTACGGTCTAGTAGACTGGCCCCTCTATCATTAAAAAAAAAAGATCTAGTCATTTGGATCAGTTCTAAAAAAGTTATTCCGCTTTAACGTGTCCCAATATTTTTGTTAAAAATGTTAGCATATTGCCAGACTCCGACGAGCGTTTCCTTCGACCGTCTATCAGCATTCTCCTCGTCTTCTCGATCGCGCTGTACGACTCGAGTTCGTAGATATCAAGGATCCAAACGGTCTGCTTGCAATTAGAGCTAAGATTCGACGAACTCGATAGAACGTCTCGGACGACTCGGGGAAAAAAATGAGCGACGACCTGCTCGAGATTCGTCGAAAAAAATCGATGCTCTTACCGGTGCCGTTCGGAAGGTCCTGCACGTAGGTCGTGAAGCACTTGACGATGGAGTCGTTGTGGGTGGCTTTGCCGAGACCCTTCTTCAGCTCGATGTCCAGCCTCTCCATGACCTTGCGCAGCTGATCATCCGAAAGGACGAGATCCTTGCATATGTCCTTTATCTGCGAACGAACGAAAATCTCGTTATCGACCGACGACCACGTAACAGCGTTACGAGAGGACCTTGAACGGTTCCCCAATGTGTTATCTATATCGGAGTCGTCCGCGCAGCTGCATATGTTGCATAACTGCACTCAATATGTACGTAGATAGCCGGATAGCGGGAGGGGAGGGGGGGCAACAGACAAAGATATTGTCATTATTTACGCATTTCCCCGACGGACGACCGCCGTCTCGGCGAGATTGGTGAACGATGCCCCGGGATTCCCTCCTCGTCGATCGCGTTTCCTTATCATTTTCGCGGCGGTGATTTTTATCGCCGCGTCCTCTTCCTCTGGTTCTATCGCGTTGCGAAAGGGTCGGCCAATTAACGGGAGCGCGAATTATCGATTTTTCTAACGCGAGAGAAGGATCCCGCGATCGCGGACGAGGAAAGGTCGCGAGACTATCGGTAGTCAGCCGACGGAGGAGCCGCCGGGGAAATAATTCTGGAAATGATAGGCTGCGGTTAAATTGCGGCTAGGTACTCGGGGATTCCCTACCGTTCCCTTTGGTCGCCGCGAGATTCGTTGATCGAGCTTCCACATGGATCTCTCGGTTCTGACGAACGGCCCCGAGCGCGACGAAACCGTCTCCATTCCGATATCTTTATCGCGTTCGCTGTTGCTCCTTCGGTCATTATCGTCGAAGACAATGCCGAACGTTCCCTCGCGAAACGAGGGAGAAATTGCTACAGCAATCCCGTAGATCTCGTCCGCTTTCCATTGAGAAAGCCGCTTCGATTTCGGTGGTCTTTAACGTCGCGACTTTATAGCGACCTTGAACTTAACTATTTTTATCAGACTTATACCGCGGCGTACGTTGTAGAGAGTGAAACTGATCTGTTGTAAAAAGTAAACTCTCCGATTATACAATGTCTTTGAAACTGTCGCATTTCACGGGGTAATTTATTTTTGCCGTTGACGCCGTTATAAATACGTCGAACACGTTGTACCTTGGTCCAATTGTCGACGGTGTTTGCGAAATCGACTGCATATCGCGTCGATGAACTGTGCGGAGAAAGAAAAATGCACCGCGAGCCTGGTTACCCTTTAAATAGAATGCGTAGTCTAGGTCAGCCACGCCGAATTTCGGCGGTTAATCCGCTCTTTCTGGCTTCGGATATTCTTGAAAACTACGCGACGCTCATTTGAGCCGTTTATTTTGAAAGTGGCATAAGTCACTTTACCGTAATGAAAAGTGGTGATTTTTTAATGTTTATACGAAATTAATTATACCGAGAAAAATATCAGTATCCTGAGATGACAAATACAAGTAAATCTTCTCGAAAGTTGGCATCCATATTTTTAAAAGTGTCAAAACGCAAACCCTTAAATATATCGACTTAAAAACAGAGTGACTTATGCCACTTTCAAAATAAACGATCGACGGACGTTGTCCAATTTTATTCCCAAATATCAGCGATATCGCAATCGAGGATCTTCGCGTGCAATGAAAATGTTCTCCGTCGAATATGCACGGTAGATCGAGAAATTTCGAAAAAGTTTCGGCGCCTTTTATCTTGTTTGTTCTTCCGTTACGTCAGCATCTGTCGCTCGTGACACTCGACGGGTGAATCCGAGCTGTCATTGAAGCGGAGAGAAATATACTAGGTCGCCTAGATTCTACGAACGATGAAATTCCGGGAATGTGTTTAAGCATGGCCGAGTTGAAAGAATGCAAGCGGTGCCTTTGTGTGCAGCTACGGCTGCGTTCGTGTAACAGACCCGAGAGTCAGAGTCCGGAAGACATCGCGTGCAAGTGTAGAGAGTAGCGAGAGAGTTGGGAGTGAGCGAGGAATAATCGAGTATGTGTCGAGTCGAGCGATGGCTCCGAATAACGATCTAATAGTTGCTCGTTTATGCCACACAAATACAAAATGATGAACCTAGGATCGATCACCCTACGCAAAACTTTCGAGATATTGAGTCCTCGCAGCAGAACCAACTACAGTAATTTCTCCCTAATTCGCGTTTAGATTGCGCACTAAAATGGACAATTTGGAGGAGAAGAGGAGATACGATTGTTCGAGCATTGCGTCTCGTTTTTATAGTTGTTGACAATCGGTAACTATAAAAACGAGTCGCATCTCCTCTTTCCAAATTGTCCATTTTATTTGATTATTAGGGAGAAATCGCTGTACCGAGGCAACAGCAAGTCGAAAACTTCGTGATACTTAATTCCTTTAATTCTCAAATTAGATTCTTTTAGCGCAGAAAAATGTTTCAGTGGGAAATAACGCTAATATATTTTCATATCGCCGTCGAATCGATTTTATACGGTATAAATGAACCTCGACGTCTCTCTAGCTTCCTTCCAATTTATCCCGAAGATACAAATTCGATCGGTTTTCAGGCAGATTTAACAACAATTTGGAACATCGTTCGTCTCTATTACAAAATGGAAAATAAAATGCTGCGAGAAGGCTTCTTAATATTTCACAATCGGCGAGCCTAGCACGCGTCTTTCGAACAGATTATTTTTCATTTTCGACGGCTTTCTAAAAGCAATATACTTTCCCTCAATAATACCAGTCTTCCCCGCGAGTCTCGCAATTTCTACGCGATTACTCTGATTGCATTGGAAAGGGAATCATCGTAACCCGGTCATCTAACTACTGGAAAAAGCGATACGGCTACGCAGCTTAACCGCCAAGGAATGCTCCAAATGAACTTTGACTAGCCCCCCTTTTATTCGTCGAACTTGTAACACTGTTTCCTTTAATCGTCGTCGACGACGACGACGACGATAGTTTTATGCAACTGTCTCGCGAATCTCGACGCGAAAGCGATTTCAAAATCGCCGATAAATATTTATGTCTCTTTTCTGTCTGTGCGGCTCGTGACATCGTACGCGATTTCGACGAAGCAGTAATTGAATGATAGCAAACATGTTTTCGCGCGATCTTGCGCGCTTCGTCCGCGTGGAAGAAGGATAAGAGCTGTGGCACATATATCGCGAATCGAGACTCGACAAAAATCGTTTCTTCCGTCTCTCCGCGAAACGGAACGGAACGGTTTCGGCGCGTCGTCGTTCTCGGGCCCGCCGGATATCGATTAAAATTTCGGAATTCCGATCCGCGGAATTTCAAATCGATATTCGGATGTTTTAAAATAGCCTCGACGCTGTTTGGACAGTTCGGATTGGCCCAGTTTCCAAGTTCCGTACGTACCAGAATCTAGGGAACGCGAATCGATAGACGGAGAAAGGGAAAATATTGGAGTCTCTCGTCGGAGTACTATAACGTAATGGATAAGGTGCGACAGAAATTGCTGTTATCGAGGCAACCTACTTTTCCGGCAGATCCGCGGCCTCGAAAGGGTCGTTAAGATAGGAACTCCGACGATGTAATCGTCTCGTGAATAATCATTTTCGGTAACAGTCGTTTGAAAGCGCGAGCAGCGATCAACTTTTGATCCGCGAAGCGGCCGGCCAATTGATTTATTCAAGCCGGTGGTTTTATTCTAGGAACTATTATGGCACGAGGGGATATTAGCCTTCCGGTTCTCCAGAGGTTAATCCAGATTTTGAATCCGACAACGGCGAGCAACGCGATTCGCGGACGCGCGGTTACCCGAAAAAATGAATCGGAATGTCCAGCGATAGGAGAACAGCATATTTTGCCCGCGCGGTCTTATCTAATCGGTCTCGTAATGCATTCAAACGTTGGACCGAAGGGTCGGGTTCGAGACCAACCAATCGAAATCGAACAACAAGCTGATTTATCGGTTTCTCGATTTGTAATCGAGACGAGCGTCACAGAATTATGTTGTACTCGGTGAAAAGAGTAAAACGGCGGATCAACGTAACCTTTGCGCGCATTCCGAGTAATTATTACGTCAACGTCCGAATTCGTTACGTCGATTCGAGAGCGGTAATTGACCTATATGTATATCTGGATCGGCGCGCGTATCCGAGCTCTTGATATTAAATTAATTCGCGAACCTCGGAAATGGAAATCTCGACGGAAATAAAGTTTCTCGAATTGGTTTAATCGACGCGGTCCGTGACGAATCGAATACGGTAGATCCGCTTCGCCTCTAATAGTAGATCGACTGCTTTCGTTCTCGTTCGAACGAAAGTATTGTCGCCAAACTATTTATTTATTCTTCAAGCTTCGTTCAACAAAGATGTACCAAGGCTGTGCCAAATTTCCTGCAAATGGAGGACCAAATGAATTGCTAAAGTGCGCGAGATCGGTCGAAAATCATTCGCAATTATGGCGAAATATTAAAACAATAAGAGATCCGCTTCGCCTCTAATAGCAGATCGACTGCTTTCGTTCTCGTTCGAACGAAAGTATTCTCGCCGAACTATTTATTTATTCTTGAGGCTTCGTTCAACAAAGATGTGCCAAAGTTATGGCAAATTTCCTGCAAATGGAAGACCAAATGGATTGCTAAAGTGCGCGAGATTGGTCGAAAATCGTTCGCAATTATGACGAGATATTATAATAATAAAAACTCCAAAAATTTTGTAAACCTATGTACAGAAATATTAGCAAGAATTGTTATCGTTTCTCGCCTCTGTCTCGTTCGGTTGTAATATTGAAACGAATCGGTTCTCCGATTTGTTGGGATGAGTGTATCCACGAAGATTTTGCTGTTCCATTCGCAAAGTGCGCGATTAAAGTTACAAAGGTTCGCTTTTTCGGAGCGCTGCTCTTTAAGAGAACAGAGGGAAAATCAATTATCGCCAGCCTGCCGGCTTAAAAGGTGTCCTTAACCCCTCCGTTTCGCGGACGACACCGCGGTCCATTTTCTCCGGCCGAGAGAGCAGACGACAAAAGAAACGAGCAGCCAAATTGGGTCGCGAGGACACGTTGGCCCGGTGGGCCGGATCGATAGACCCGACGTAAACATCCCGCGTCCGCACACGTGCGAAATTCCTGACGAAATCGGGCGAGCCAGGTGCGCACGCTTTTCCGCGGGAACACGCGTTCGTCGGGCGTCCCTGCGGGCCTCGGAACAGGTGATGCAGGCTCGCGAATGATGTTCGTCTATTCCGACGCGATCCACGCCTGCGTGAAGCAGCTCCGGAATCGTTAAAGCGACTTTTATTCTCCTCCGCGACGGTCGCTGTCGTTCAAAAGTCGTCGAACGCTTCGCCGGCCGATGGAACACGGGAATTTCAAGCCGATCGCTCCGTCGCGTTTTTAACCGCGAATATGCTAACAAGTGCACGCGCGGGTCTCCAGCGATCGTGCTCGTGCTTAACCACTTGCGCTGGAAAGACGTGCCACGCACGTCGTAATGCTTTTGTCACAGAATCGCCAACAACGTGGTATGTACGTCGTCTGTCTCTTATACACATCTAGATGTGTATAAGAGACAGAAGTTACACTGGACCGTTCTGGTACACGCCTGTCTCTTATACACATCTAGATGTGTATAAGAGACAGAAGTTACACTGGACCGTTCTGGTACACGCCTGTCTCTTATACACATCTAGATGTGTATAAGAGACAGAAGTTACACTGGACCGTTCTGGTACACGCCTGTCTCTTATACACATCTAGATGTGTATAAGAGACAGAAGTTACACTGGACCGTTCTGGTACACGCCTGTCTCTTATACACATCTAGATGTGTATAAGAGACAGAAGTTACACTGGACCGTTCTGGTACACGCCTGTCTCTTATACACATCTAGATGTGTATAAGAGACAGAAGTTACACTGGACCGTTCTGGTACACGCCTGTCTCTTATACACATCTAGATGTGTATAAGAGACAGAAGTTACACTGGACCGTTCTGGTACACGCCTGTCTCTTATACACATCTAGATGTGTATAAGAGACAGAAGTTACACTGGACCGTTCTGGTACACGCCTGTCTCTTATACACATCTAGATGTGTATAAGAGACAGAAGTTACACTGGACCGTTCTGGTACACGCCTGTCTCTTATACACATCTAGATGTGTATAAGAGACAGAAGTTACACTGGACCGTTCTGGTACACGCCTGTCTCTTATACACATCTAGATGTGTATAAGAGACAGAAGTTACACTGGACCGTTCTGGTACACGCCTGTCTCTTATACACATCTAGATGTGTATAAGAGACAGAAGTTACACTGGACCGTTCTGGTACACGCCTGTCTCTTATACACATCTAGATGTGTATAAGAGACAGAAGTTACACTGGAC